GTCGTGTTTTTATATTGTGTCATAAATTATTACCCTTAATATACATTCTTCATTAAATATGATTTGTTATAAGATTATTTTTCTATTGGGATAAAAAGTTCATCCGAGTTGTCTAGAATTTTACACTCTTTATTTTTAATTTTCTTCAAAGATATTTTAATTTTTTTAAAAAAATATAGAGTAATATCATAGATATTGTTGTTTTTAGGTATAGATATTTAAGTGTATGGGTCAGAGATGGCAGCTGAAACCACCAAGTAGGGTGGTCTAGTGGGTATAGGCCTTATTCCTCACTTTAAAATTGGGAGTTCGAGTCTTGGAGTTCCCATTGGGACTTGATGGTTGGCCGTTATACTAGCCTAGTTAGGTCTGGTTCCAAGAGGTGTTCCAAGCGCGATCAGGGGTCTCATGATCTCATAGGTGAGGGCCTATCGGGATGATCGCTGGACACTCTTCTTTGTCCCCACCCTTTTTATTTATTTATCAAAAAAAAAAGAGAGACGGCAGCTGAAGTAGTAGAAGCCATTTGATTCGATTAAGAAAGACAGCGAGCGAACACACTACAAGCGTGGTCGGCCTTCCTTCGTGTGTTCAATTTTATCTCCATTCTCATTTATGATAACAGACAATTCTAGATAAGATTTTCATACACAATCGAAATGGTACTAATTAATAAATAAATAAATTTGATTATAATTTTAACAAATTTAAATAGTCAATTATGCATGATTGATTACGACGTACATGCTATAAAACTTTATATTCTTAAATATAAATTAGTATAAATTTAAACACGACAGAAATTCAACTCACTACAAGACAATCAAAGAGATCAGTGGGGAAGCTGGAAAAATTCCGTTTGGTGGGCACATATTTATTTTATTATATTATATTATTAGTCATAACTCGTGTCTGAATGTACGATAAAACATAAAATTTAAGCCTCTAAAAAATTTGATCTCACTTTATTAAATAATAAATTTTCTTTTATTTCATTTATTTGATTACATCATTCAAAATTTATTTTTACCTATTATTTTCTTAAAAATATTGACAAAATTTTCTCAAAATATGTAATTCGATAAAATTTTCTCAATATATGTATATTATCGTGTATGAATAATAACTGAAATAAAAATTATGTTAAATTATAAATTAATCAAATATTAAATAATTAAACATGTGATAAAAAATGGGTGATGTGATAGTTTTAAAATGAGAAAATGTATGAAAAATAAAATTTAACTTGCTATGTGTTTTATTATATTATAGATGTAAATATGAATATTTATTAATTGGCCAAATGAGTCTTTATAATTCCAGAGCATTACATACATAGTAAACTCATTATCTCGGACATTGAAAGTATCTTATTGTACAATCAAGTTCTTGGTCATCTATTAATCATCTCAGCTATTTTTTTCACAATCTTTTATTTTTAATTTATTTTATAAACTATCTCCTAAGATTAAGATCAAGGTATCAAAATAGTAAAACTATTAAACAAAAAATTGTGTAGAAACTATAGTAATACAATCAAAATTCAACTCAAACACAATAAATTATTAGCCAAAAAAAAAATATAAAAATGGACAATTGTACAAAAATAATTGTCTATTACAGACCAATTTTAATACCATACTAAGAACATAAAACAAAAAAGTCACAAATATACAAATAAATACCAATTAAAAAGAGTTATAACGGCACTATTCTAAAATTGTTCTAACAAAAATATAATTAAAATATGTATTGTACATAACTCACAGAGTACGACAAAATATACATATTTGTAATTTTTCATAAATATCTATTTATATGTATATAAAAAAATTTTAAAAATAAAGGGTGGGCCCAGACCCCTTAGTAGATCTTGAAAAGGTAGTTAAGTAAAAATAGGGATAAGTCGTAAATTCAAACATCTTGAAGTCGAAACTTGACAACTAACTTAGGATTAGGTCAAATAAATTCGATCACTTATGAATTTTTTAGTCTTAATGTTAATAATTTATTTTTGACCTAATCAGAAAAAATAAAAAAAATACTCATAAATTAGTCCAAAAACTGTAACCGTCATCCCAAAGGTAAACAAATGGGTAATCTACTTGGGGACCAGTGACAGGTGGCGGTAATGGGGAGCAAGTACCTCAACTACTTGCACCACCACCAAGGAACCCGACAAATTATTGGTATCGTTTGATATAAGGCTTTTGTTACTTAATGAACCACTTGACGGACAATGGTGACACATGTGAGATTCAACCAACATACAAAAGATCTTAGATTCTTTCCTTATTTACCAAACTGCCCTCCACCGACTCACCCATTATTACGGAAAATTATATCTAAACCTCCTCAAATTTATAACTTAATCATTCAAATCCCTTGATATTTAAAATATTACACACAAACTTCCAAAAATTTATACGCGCATAACTTAGGCTCTACTGTAAATATATCTATTAATAAATTATACCTAGACTTTTAAAGTTTGTAAACATATATTACTTAGATCCTTTATGTTTAAAATGTTATACTTACACTAAAAATATTTAATTCAAAGATAAAATATCAAATATTTTAAATTTTATAATTAAAATTCATATTCTATTGTAACATTTATTGAAATAAAATCAAAAATTAAAATTAAAATTTTTCTTAAAAAATCGTAATTAATATACAATTATATTGTCTATTGAAATTTAATTTGGTCGGTTAAACTACCAAATTAAAATAGTTAACTACCCCAATTAAAGGTAAAAGATATTGTGTTCATTACAGTTTGACCCCTTGCTTAATTTTTTATTTTTATTTTAATAGATAGTATAATTATATACTAACTATGATTTTTTTTTAAAAAAAATTAGATTTTTTTTTGATTTTATTTTAATAAATAACATAATAGAACATGAATTTTAGATGTAAAATTAATGTTCTATCATGAATGACTTAGACATCTTGTTTGATTTTTTAATTTTATTCTAATAAATAGTATAATTGTATACTAATCACGTTTTTTTAAGAAAAAATTATTTTTTTTTTAATTTTATTTCAATAAATGATACATAAGAACATGAATTTTTATTGTAAAATTTAAAATATTTGATATGTTATATTTAATTGGAGTATTTTTTGTCTAAACATAACATTTTAAACTTAAAAGGTCTAAGAATTATATACCTACAAATTTCAAGGGTCTAAGTATAATTTAGTAATGGATATATTTATAATAGCAGTCTAAATTTTACGCGCATATAAATTTTAAAGGGTCTATATATAATATTTCAAATATAAAAAAATCTAAATGATTAAGTGATAAAGTTCAAAAAAATCTGAATATAATTCTCTCCCATTATTATTACTGGTTATACATAAATATCTGCAATTCTTTTGCATCTAAAGACCCTACCAACTAAATATCTTGGGACCCACGACGGTGAAGCCCAGTGCTTCTAGTTGAGTGGACTCTCAACCAGTTCATAATCTATGACAAGCTTTAATATGCCCTTTAGTGAGATGGATGAAAAAACAAAATCTTTTACATCTAAGGACCCCACCAACTAAATATCTTGGGACCCACGACGGGTAAGCTCGGTGCTTCTAGTTGAGTGGACTCCCAACTAGTTTTTAAGCTAGGACAAGCTTTAATATTCCCTTTAGTGAGATGGATGAAAAAAAAATAGAAATAAATAAATAAAAGTTGATACCTTTTCTATTCTCAAACAAACAAAACATTCAGGTCCACTTTAGTATGGATCTTAAAAAGTGTTTTTTATTTTTAAAAATAATTATTGAAAAAAAAATTATTTGGCCAGTAATTTTTTGTTTTTGTTTTTTAAAAACTAAAAACAAAAATTAAGTAAATCTATAGAACAAGTTAAAATTGTTTTTGTATGTTTTTGAAAACAAACTTTCCAAAATTTTAAAAGCACCACCGCTCACCCTTCTACCACCACCACATTGATCAAAATGAGTTAATACCAAATAAATTTTAATATTTTATATTTTATAAAACTATTTTTAAAATCGTATAACCAAATAAATTGTGCGACACAAGAAATATTAAAAATAATTATATTAAACTCTTCTCAAAAATAGTTTTCAAATATTATTTTTTAAAACACAATTCAAATAAAATCGTATTCTCTCCTTTGCATTTGAAAAGAATGATAGGAAATAAGAGAAATTGATTTTTTTTTTTTTAATGTTTAGTATGGATAAAAAAGTAAAATGAGGAAAAAATAAACGCAAAGGTTTTAATATATGTTATATACATATGATACTAACATTAATAACATGTAATAGATGTATATGATATTAGTTATTAGGTATAAAGACAAATAACATACATTTTAACACATAATTAACTTATCTTCTACTATTCCCGTCAATTTGTATAGAACAAATTTTGATAAATTCAAAAAAAACCTAATCCCCCTAATTTTCCTTTGTAACTGAACATGATATTTTATTTAATTTTCCTTTCTTCTCTTTCACTTTTTTGTCGTACCAAGCAGGCCACAAATCTTATGTTGCACCATGATTACCCTTTTCATAGCTCTCTTGTGCTCGGATAGAAGTACCTAAAAGGCTCCTGCCATGCGGGAGTTTTTTTTGTGTGGGTGTGGGTGTTGGGAAAAAGAGAAGAGGGGGAAAAGGAAGGGGGGAGGGGAGTGTTCCTCTGTCGTGCTATACAGGTCATGCTATCTAACATTATCCTCACATAGAATACACGATGGATGCACTTTTGTGCCACAATCTCAACTTGTGGGATCAAACTGAGAACCTACACAGAATGACAACAAATTTCTACAGGAACCACAACTTGTTTCTGAGAAGCACTGGTCTAAATCTGGCAGACCCATTGACATGACTAAATAAGGGATCAGTCACGTCATGTTTATGATACAATTTGAATACTTCCAACAAAATCCAGGTAGAAACTGTTGAAGTCCCAACGAGTTGTCAGTAGCTGCAATTTGTTTGTTCATTTTGTTTCTCTAACAAGTTTTTACCCACTCAAAGCTTTGAACCACCTGGGAAACACACCTACATAACCGTAAAATCCTCAAATATCCAGCTCTAAGGGTCTGAAGTGCAACTCCAATTTCAGCAATGAGTGGTTGTGAAGATGAATTTGGAGAGCCATCGAATGGAGCTGCTAACTGAGATGGAAGGATCTCTGAAGGATAGACTCCCCTGTTTGAAAACCATCAGACATGCGATTCACAATTGCCAACACAAGACAAAGGCACAAACACAAAGAATAACCAGAAAGCACAATTATTGTAGTTAATACCGAGAACCTTCACACACAAGTGATGAACATGGCACATTTACATAGAGGACAGCACCATCATCAACGCATTTCTAACCCACACACAAGAATGGGAAAATCTGATGACTATGGTGACCATCAAATTTGAGGAAACTTTTGGCTGATCATGACCATCAAATCAAGTGCAGCTAGTATAGGACCTATATAGGGTTAGATCTATCAACAAGTTTCCACCATTGATCCACCTACACAGCTGCACTTTTACAAGTTCAAAATGTCCATGTGATTTTGGCACCTACGAATTTGAGATAAGACCATTGATAATACCCGAGCACAAAAGAAAATAACACTTGGGCCATTTTTTTTTCATACATTAGACTAATTTTTTTCCGAGCAATACACCGCGGCTAAATTGAAAATTGACATTTTAAACAAGATGATTACTTTTCAATAGCAACATATTCTTCCTTGGTGGCCTCATGCAAATCATCTACACACCCTATCAGCTACCATTAATATCTTTTTTTTCTTTTCTTTTTTGACTACCATGGAAATCACATCTTTGGATGACAGTAGAACTACCCATGCAAATTGAAATGTATAATAAACAACTTTTGGCAGGAGTCAATCTGGCTGGTATAGAAACTCAGACACAGCATCAAGTGAAAGCAACGACAAGTAAAATAAAATTGATGTAGGACCACACCTATTCAAACACGAGATGTCAAGAGTCAGTATTGCCTTCCTGCCACTTTTAAAATCCAAGAAACTAAGCTGCAGATCAAGCTGGTCAGCTGCAATAAAAAACCATGAGTGCATTTGAATTTTATCATACACACATGTATATGCAAAAGTGGCCCTTCATTGCTAAATAAAATTTTCTAAAAAGGATAGAAGAACACGGTTTGATTTCTGTGACACAAGAGTGCACCACCTTCCTTCACATTCCCATCTAATCAGAGTCAGACCATGACAAACTGTCTGAAGTGGATACCTCCACCAGCTAGCTTGAGTGGTCTGCATGTGATCCCCAAGAAGGGAGGGGCATGGTTCAAATTCTGGTAGATATATAAGTGCACTTAGTTTTAAATAATTATAAAAAGAAAAACAAATTCTTCTCAAAATGAACTATACACCTACTAGAGGGCGGATGCACTCACATAATATAGTAATTTCAAAATTCTACAACACAAATAAATTTTAGAGAGAGGTCTTCAAATTCTAGCGAAGTTTTACTTCCAAGAGAGAGAGAGAGAGAAAGATGACATAGTGAGGATGGTTGAGAGAAGGAAGGGATGAGGAAAGAATGGAAACAAAGAAACAAAAATGTAGTTCTTTCTTAGCATGCCGATAAAACAAACTCATAAATGCAAATGAACTCTAGAAAACAACATGGCCATGGACGAAATACTTTTTGACGTATCAGAAAACCAGATAAACAAATTAGTGAGTCAATTAACATGTGAATTCTTGAAGTCTGAACCAAAAATTGGCTAATCATAATGCAACTTTGATTTAAAAAAGATCAAAATAAACCAAGTAGAATAAGGTCAAGCAACTGGTACGGCAGCATGGATTGTTTTTCATGTTCTTAAATTACAAAGGGGACAACTGCATGAATTGATTAACATAGCATAGTTCAACTCAGAAAACTACTATTTGCACATTGCACAGTTGAAACATAAAGTGTTAATAAGTATAAAGGTGTCAAAACTTCAACAATCAAGCACCATCATATGCATTTTACTAGCATATAAATTGGCCACATCTAGGTCTGTCACTAACTCCTCCCTGTGTTGCCACTAGACAATATTTTTAAGTAACTGCTTATGTGGGTGAGACATAATCACCAGCACGTAGGCCCTGTTAAACCATGTATCACGAAATGGTTCAAGAAATGTTTATAAATAGTAACCATTCATCTCCTAGCACCATGCTCTCATAGAAAAAAAGAAAGGACATAAAAGAGGATATATATTACCACGTGGACAGAGAAAACTTGTCTGGGTTAGATTTTGAAGCTCTATCTGTGCTAGTTGTACCTCCACAACTACATCTAGCAAATTACCTAACAATGAACTGATGATCTGCACACAAACAGTGGTCACACAAGAACAGCGTCAAATTTAAAACTAAATTCAAAAAAACCAACCAAATCTCAATTCTCATTCATTCCCATTCTCTCTGATGTTGTGTTGGGAACAAGCGATTGCAGGAATAACCAACAGGCTAAAAAAAGGTTAGGAAACTTACTTGTGTCTTTTCTGCCAAACGCCTAGGGCCAACATACTTCTGAGTGGTCTCCGCATTTAACACAAATGAAAATGCAATGCAGGCATCCATGTTTGGGAAATTCTACTGAGCAAAAAAGTATTGCATTAAATAAATAAAAAACATGTAGCTGACCTAAAAAATGTTAGAACAAGGTTTTGCAGAGTTGAGTATTAAATAAATAGAAGAAAATGAACAAGAAGAGAAACAACTTCATACGACTTTAATACCTTCACAATATTTATCTCATTCAATTTAGTTGAAATGACAGTGCTTGAGACTGGCCCAACAGTAATTGTGAAACTGTAATAATCAACAACATATATTTTGATAAGAGTCGATTGCTAGGTTAGAAGCAAAAGAATTGCTTTTGATAACCTGAACAACAAATAAGAGATTGGTAAGAAGAATAGCTCCAGCAAAGAAGCAACCTTTGAATGATGAACCAAGGTAGTTCAAGATGACATTGCAATGACCATGCCTACTCTCCAGAGTGTCAACAGCCCACAACTGATGAAATAACAAAAATGATGTGTCTCAGTGAGGAAATATAATTTTTTCATAGAACGCAATGACAACAGTAATAGCAAACTCGTAGACCTGCAGATCTAGGCGTATGGACCTGCAACATGCTCTCTTCATCAAATGATCATTAACTAATGAAATAGTGGCAGCGCAATTTGGTTCTCCTTTAATCTTACAAGAAGAGTGAAAAGCCTTGATCAAGTTAATGATTTTTCGGTCTGAAACTTCCAATACATGCCCCATTGCGGCAACTTTGTCATTGGCAACCTTGCATTATTAAAGCCATACGTGTCTTATAAAACTACATAAATACTATACAAAATGAGGTAGCATAGATCATTTCATGGTAAGCAACAATGAAATATAAAAGAAAAAAAATCATTTCTTGAAACAATTTTCAGAGAAACCAATGAATAAAAGAAAGTGAAATCACCAAAAAACTTACAAGCATATAAATTGCCTGGAAGAGCATTATAAGCCAATGTATTATGACTTGGCATATACGACTTCATTACTAAACAAAATTTCACAATGGATTTTTTTTTCAGTGAATTAAACAATGGATTAAATCTAGCATACAAAGAGTATAAGCATCCCAGCTACTATTTCAATGTCTTCTGAATCCTTGAGGCATACAAAATTAGCATGGAGAAAAACAAAATATAAATCATAAGTCCCTTGAAGTCTGCTCCTTTTGGCTTCAACTGCAAGTATTGTAGAGTATTACCAATTTACCATAGCCAACTTCCTATTTGGAAGGAAAACGACCAATGCAGCCTTTCTTCAGGAGGTGTTTGGGTGGGTTTTGTGTTCAAATTTGAGAGTAGAAAGCATGGAATAGAGATATGTCCCAACAATATAACGGAAAATTAGTATGTATACCTACCCAGCTAGGAGTAAAATTAAAACATTGTAGACTTTGCTTCTTTGATTGGCAAGGAAGGCCCATAAGTTCACATGTCCAGTCAAGCTATTAGTTAAAGTAGTAAATTGGAACTAGGGTTTAAAGGAGAAAGGAAAAGGGAAGAAGAAAGAGAGAAACAGTGAGAGGAATAATCATTGTGTGGGCTATGTTGCCCTACACTCTCTTATTTATAATTGTTCAAGTATAAATACTTAAGTTATACCCTTTCCAACAACTTAAGTTTTTGAAGTAGATAGTTGTTTAACATAGTATCAAAGCAAGAAGTCATGTATTCGAATATCACCGCCACCCTAATTATTAAAATATTTCTATAATTAGACCCAAAATCTATGCTGCACGTGAAGGAATGTGTTGAAGTATAAATACTTAAGTTACACCCTATCCAACAGCTTAAAATTTTGGAATAAATGGTTATTTAACAAGAGCAAAATGATATTATGGAAATTACAATATTATCTTACACTACAAATAAGTATAAATAACAACTCTAACACTATATAAAGCCCTTATTAGAAGGATGATTTGAATCTATTGTTTTGTGTTTGGCAGGGAAGCAAGAGAACAATCGAATCCAAAATGAGTCCAAATATCCAAATTATTAAATTGTTATTAAAAGGAGAAGTGTATTCTCAAACCTTCCATAGAATTTAACCAAAAAAATTGTAGCTCTTCAAAACAAGCATCTTTATATTCACTCCAAACACGACAAAATTGAGAACGGAGCTCTCAATCTCATATTCTCTCCCTCGATCAAAAACACCTTCTCTTTTCCACACAAATTTCAAACATAACAATTCTAGTTAAGGGTTGAATAGCAGTAAATATTATTTCATTCCAATATTCACTTAAGTTTTTCGAGAGAAATTTTCTGATATTAATCCAACTACGGAAAACAATATATTATCATTTTATTAGCTTTGGACCTTTTGGTCAAGACTAAGAATGTACACCAAGAAATTATGGATACTTTTCTAAGTGGGCCATAGACCAGATTTCATTTTTTGGAGTATTATTATTATTATTTTTTTTTTGTTGGGGTGGGGGGTGGGGGGAAGTGTGTAAAGCAAAGCCTAATTGAAATGCCAAGTGCATCATCAAAACAGAAAAATTATCCAACGTAAGACGCTTTTCAGTGCTTGGGCACTAAAACTCTGTAATGCCCTTCCTTTCTGAGGGATTCAGATAGAAGTTCCCATGAACTCATAAAGAGAATAAGATGTTGCTCCCTGCAATGGGTTGTGGTCTCAAAATGGAAGTTCCTCAAGACAGCTCTTTCTAACCGAGACACAAGAACATTTGTTTCATTTCTTTTACTTATGGGACAAGGATGCAACCACATATAAATTACAACTTTGTACCTCTTGTATGCCCTTCAAATTGGCTGTCATGGATTGGGGCTGACCATCATCCACTTGAGCATCTCTTGTGCATGCTACAGATACTTGTGACAAAGAAATCAACTTTAACATTTGACATTCCTGAATTCCAGAGCTCATTAGTTGTAATTTTTTCTGCACATAAAAACGGAATTGGTTGGCGACTAGGCCATCTCAAGAATTCAGTATATATACAGGCAAACTATACCAGCAATTTCTCTCGCTTCACACGCATTAATAGCAATTTCGCCTGCTCATGCACAATTCTATGCAACAACATTCTTGTTTCCGCTACTCTGCATCAAAACTCAATTCATGAATGTGAACATGAGTTGAGATATACCACAAGATTTTCTAGTTGTTAAAGACGGGGTATCATCCACATCCATTGCACAAAGACAAGATAAGAATTCACCTCGCCTGCCGAAGATCACGGTGCTGTTCAAATGTTTTCTGTAGAAAATTCATGAAATAAGTATCAGCAGGTACCAAACGAGTCTGAGCTTTTAATTAGGTACAAAAAAAATTGCAACCCACAACAGCAATCTCTACAATATTTTGTTTATTTTTCAAATAGTTCAAAATAACCTTGTAAGCTTGCAGACCTGAGACTGGATTTCAGTGCAAAGCATCTCATATGTTTTTAGCCTTTGCAGGTGAACCAAAATATCTTCCAGCACATCAATCTACAAAACAAATTAAATAATCATAACGAAAAGAAACAAAAATGTATAAAAATAAAGAAACAAACAAGAGTGAAACTGGAGTGACCCATCAATCCGAGAACTTTCCTGAAGTCGGTCCACTCCAATTTCATTCCTGAATCTCTCTCTCTCTCTCTCTATATATATATATATATCACAGAGTGAAATTCAGCAGTTTTAAATTGGAAAACAAAAGATGTATAAAAAATTAAAAGAAAAAAAGTTGGATTTAAATCCACTGTCTAATCAAAATTGTGCGGACAAAATTAAAACCAGAAAAGGGTTACCTCCTGCAAATTAAGTTTATAAATTGAAGGAGACAGCAAATGTTTTGTATCCGTTGAGAATTTTAAGTAAATCTGCAGGGTAGAATCGAGAGTCACATACAACACAGGGGAAATAAAGGAAACAAGAAGTTTCACTCATTCTATCAGCACATCTAACAAGGCAAGTAAAATGGAAAAGTAATAAATAAGAGCAAAGCATACATACATCAGACCAGTGCTTCGATTCATTGCCAGTCATGGATGTTTCACTGTTACCCCCACTAGGACACTCCACGAGTTCTGAATCACAACCTCCACCTTTGTGAAGTTTTGAACTCCTCTGGATCATGGCAATTTCATACTCATTATCCCTGTCCTTTAGTATTATTTCTTCATTTCTTCTTTTCCTTGGAGAACACCTCTCAAATCCGTTAGTCAATTCATTGAACTTGGGATATGGTACATCTTCCACAACAGAATTCATATTGTCATTTTGTATCCGTTCAAATAGCTCTTTCCTTGCCGGACTTTGAATAACTCGTTCTACCAGATTCTGAATGTCAGATGGAAGAATAAAAAATATAACACAAACTCCTATTTTTCATAGTCTTAGGAGGAGAATATCAGCAAGTTTATGCATGCCCCATGCCTAGGTATCAATGTCAACAAAAACAAGCCAGAAGATTGAAATATTATCTACTTGTAATAAACAGACCTGGCCTAATTACCCAGTTCACAAGTTGAGGTGCAAATCCTCCTTGGTCTAGCCATCACTATGCTAGGCATGAATGCCTATTAATGTAACAACTTATACTTGTCTTAGAGGAAATTGAGAGAATAGAAAGAAGTTACTGACCTCACGTGACGGCTCAGCCAACGGAGAAGCAGCTTTTATCCCTACTCCAGGAATGTCATTTTTAAACTTGGCTACGTCTCTTCCACTTTTGAGGTTCCCATTGGGAACCTGAGATTGAAATTTTTGGAATTCCTTGTACCTCAGAGGGCTCAGGAAGTCCCCAATTCCTGATACCTTTCTCTGATCATGAAGATTAGTTTCTCCATCATCTGTCATATATACTTCAGGTAAGTCTTTGAAATTGTTGATTTCAATCATAGGCGAGGTAGTCCATTCCATGACCAAAGAGCCCACCTTATCAGCATTTGTAGTTGAGAGGCTTGTGTGTATAATAACTTCTTTTGAAGCTGCATCTTGGTCTGGGCCAAAGTTTACAAGTTCATTATCCTGATAATACAGCCTTAAATTTTTAGAGAGACTACCTTGAAACTCTGGTGATGGAAACGACATCTTTTCCATATATTTCACTGGAGAATAAACAATTTTTTTAGGTGTACACATTGATTTCTTATCTCCTAGATAATCTAGTCTGACCTGTGCAAATGAGGAATCAGTTCCAGAAGTAACCAATGTCCCTCCAGTGGGATCTTCCGATGCCAAGAGGCTCTGCTGCATCTTCTTTCCAGACGAAGTAAACTTAAAGGGTGAAGCTGCTGCAGTCGTCAGTTTACTTGGTTTATTTGTCCAGAGGATCCCTCCAGAAACTTGATGTGGAGAGTTTCCACTATTTACAAGGCCCGCAGATTCTTCAGTATAATTCATGGAAGAAGTAAACTTAGAGGGTGAAGCTGATCCAGTCATAAATTTACTTGCTTGATTTGTCCAAAGGGTCTCTCCAGAAACTTGATGTGGAGATTTTCCACTATTTACGAGGCCTGCAGATTCTTTGGTATAACTCACCTCTCCAATATTTTTTAGAGTCTCAATCCTGCTTCTGTAAGTGTTGACTGAACGAGTAACTGTGGCATCCATATCTTTGACCTGGGGATCATTGCTCCTTTTTTCCAGAAAAGAATCAAATGGAGGAGTCCTTAGAAGGTGATCTAATGATCTTAGCTTTAAGCTGTCAATTTTGGCATTGAGCGTAGAAGAAAAAGGAGAAGCTTCAAGCATCTGGAGTTTAGAAACACTTTTCTGAATAGACGATGTACTTTTATTGTGTATCATGTGGGAAGGAGTCACAATCAATGGATATTTGGATGGACTATCATTATTAGAAAGTATTTGCCTTCCTTTAGCAGATGAAGAGGATATAAACTGTGCCACTGGCGTTTCACCTCCAGGCTGTGTAACCCCATGTGATTGACGAATGTCATTATCCAGATTTGATGGGTTGCCCTGACTAACAGTGGATAGGTTTGGATCAGGCCTCCTCAATTCAAAAGCATCTTTAACAGACTCCCCATTATTATCAACCAACATGCCCTACAAGTGACGCAACAAAACTGATAAACAGCCCCGTGCAATTTTAACACAAAAATGTTGTTTATCTATTTCTCAACCACCATATTTCTTATCAAATCTCTTATATGGCAAATAACGCATTCGAAATCTCAACAAAGCACCACATATATGACTTCAATGTCATACAGGAAATGCTCATTTGAAATCCTAATAAAGCTGCCGCATGAATAACAAAAATGACAACGGTGGATGCATTTACACCTAGTGTAAGACTTCTTAGTCTTACAACCTTTGATACATTACATATTTCCCTCGTACCCATTATGCTTATCAAATTTCAAGTCCATCGATATCAACAGTTGTTCAATCCATATAGTGCTCCAAATAATTATCATTGTTTTGATAGGAAACCAAACAATGCTATTAATATGAAAAGAGTACATCAAAGAGAACTTTGGACGGACAAGGTGTCCAGCCAATAAATGGAAAAACAGAAAAGAAATACAATATAACTAAAACTACTAAAATTTGATACTAATAATTGTCTTATAAAATTTAAATATATTAATCAAACATCTTCTAGTCTCTAAATGACTTTATTTTAGCAAGCACAATGGGCAGGGAATGAATAGGTAATGCAATGGGGATTTTCTTCTTATGTGGGTCACATGAAAAGTTACCGAGAGGCATAAGGCTAAGGAGTTTTGCACAGAGTGTAAACGGATCCCTTCCCATGGGCTATTTTTTCACCTATTCAAGACAACTGGATATCCATAACAACACTCACAAAAGCTGAACGCAACTGAGGACAAGCCTTGAGCTGACTTGCTATAAAAAGCATTAACCATATTGCACACTCATCTAGGGCGAATTACAAGGGGAAAAACACGAAGAAACAAAAAGAATAAAAATTCCATTTCTACCCAGACATGATTGCAAAACAAAATCCATGCCGTGAACATTATGTGGGAGATAACTAATGAACAAGAAGATGACAAAGACGAAGAGGGTTAAAAGGGATGCAGCACTATTTAGTACAGAAACTGCAGAAACTGAAGCACAATAGCAATGCCAGTATGTCATCTCACATGTGGCTACAAATTCCATAACCAACTTTGCCCTAACAATCAAAAAGCATCAATTCAAAAAACAAAACATCGTGAGAACAAACAGTACTGAGAGGAGTTCTTACTTTGTTTAATTGGTTAGGTGACCAGTTTTGGTGATCAGTAGAAGCATCAGGATGTTCCATAGATGTACGAGATGAAAGACCAAAAGTGATAGGAGAAGCGCTAGCATTTATCTCACCCAGGTAATTATGCACAGCATAAACTGCCTCAATGCTCATATCATATGTATCAATTGCACCGGCTTCTTTATTTCTACCACCAGTTAGATCCATTGTATGACCCCCATGCTCCTTCGATGCCAAAATTTTACTTTCCTTTTTACTGGGTGATGTTGAAGCACTAATTTTATGAGAACTAGAAATGGTATGCACATCCTTGCTGCCTTCTGCCAAAAGTGCATCCAATCCAGGAGATAATCTGTCATAATCATACCGGTGTGGATTTTCTCCAACAAGACTCATATCATTTGAATCATTACCACAACTTACTTGTGTAACAGGCATGGAAGAGACAAAAATTGGCTTCTTAGCTCCAGTCAGTACCATTGAACTTCCTACATTAGTGTGGACAGGGGTGTTCTCTTCAAAGGAGAGGTGAACCACAGTTGGGGTCTTAGAGTCTCCTACCCCCGACTCTGATCTAGCTAGGCTGCGAAAATGCATTGAGAAAGCCGTTGAATCCATAGTAATATCATGATTTTCATCAGAAGCTGCAGAGTCCGAAAGCCGTCCAGGTCTAATAAAACTAGTTGATACAGGACCAAAAAAATTATCTTCTGCAAGAACAAATCAGAGGAAAAAAGTAAGTTCACCATTTTTTTAAGGACCAGCCTTTTGCAACTACAGCATGAAATATAACCTATTCTTATTCTGCATTCAATTGGCTAGAATGCACAAGGGGCCACCTCCCCCAACACATAACACCAAGTCCCCTCCCCAACAGAAACAACCCGGGAAAAGGGAATATAGACAAAGCAGAATTCTCAACAATCAAATCAAGAATAACAATATTTTTAGTTGATTGCTTCATCTCCTAAAACAAACATACCATTAGCTTTGCAGGAACCAATGGAAATTATATCCCAGTTTTAGAAACAAAAAATACTTTGGGAGCATGTCAATTCATAGTTCAACTATTCAATCAATTCAAAAAATTTGGCGCTGTATAACACTTCACTTACGATGGAGATTATAAATTGACAACCCAGATAATACAAACAGCTGATTTTCGAGAGAACTATTGTGGTTAAACATACAAGCATAAATGTGTGCATATGAGGAACTTGCCATCATTGGAGGTAGCAGAACCAACGGTACTTCCAGGAGAAGGCGATTCAGTCGGCCTCAAAAACGCCCTCCTCCGGAAAATTTCCTCCTGACCTTCATCACCCTCTTCTTCATCACGTGAAGATTCCGGGTCCTGTTGAAACCCTAGGTCATCACCGGAATGCTCTAATTCCGGCGGGGCAATATCGTCAGAGTTAGGTTTGGGGTTCTGAGGAGTCTCGTCCTCTTCGTCGCGGTCAAAAATATGAACCGAAGTCATCTCGGCAAAGCTCACTCGCCTACTCCGCTTTTTCTGGCGAGCGATTGTGCCCTCCTCGGTCTCCGTGTTGTCGTGCTCGTCGGCGGCCACATTAGAAGCCATTGTCGTCTCTGTGTACTCAATTGAACTGCAGAGAATTTTGTGGATTTGAACTGAGGATAGGGTTTGGGTTGATTTTGAAGTTTTGGTAATCTAGGGTTCTGTTCTCACTGTGAAGAGGGGAGAGAAAATGGTTTTGTGCGGGAAAGCTGTGGAATTTCAAACACATTTGTCATTGGGGATTGTACATATATACCCTTGTAGTTTCGAATAGACGGACGCCTTGGGGCCCACCACGAACTCTTTAAAATTAAACGATTTATACTTAGAGCATCCCAAGAGAATAGATAAAATACACAAAATTTTCAAAATTTAGTTATTTTGTATTAAAATTTCACTTTAATAGAATATCTTCAAAGTATGTAAAATAGCATTTTAATACAGTAATACTTTATATTATGAGTACCATTGTAGCAATATTTATAAATTATTTATAATATTTTATTTTTCTTCCTTTCTTTTCCTCTATTCCCTATCTTTCTCTCTTTCACTATTTTCAAAGAAAAATAATATAAAAGGAATGAGAAATAATATTTAAAAAAAATAATTAAAAATTAAAAAAAAATTGGATTGTATATTTAAAAAGTGAGTAGTTAAAATAGAAAATGTTATTTTTTTAGTAGCTAAACTAACTTCTATTGTTAGATATGCTCTAATGTAAGGTAGACTAATTTTTCATCCTATTAGGTATTATACTATGATACCTCCTGTTTAAAGATACAGTACAACGTAAATGAATTTAAAAAAGAAATTCAATATGAAACGTGCACAATCACGTAATTCGTTCTCAACACCTTATTTTTAGAGGGACTTATTATACTGAGGCACAATGAATTATTTTGAAATGTGCACAATAACATAAAAAAAATAGATAGGAAATGAGATGATGAAGGGAATGGATTTGAAATTATTGGCCAATTTCCAGATTACATCTTTTCTGATCATATAAAAAAAAAAAAAAAAACATCCATAAAGGACAGCATCTCATGTTCATCACAGCAATTGATGCAAGGAAGCGGAAATTCCTCTTTTGGGCTTGCCTTGTTTAGGCTTGGACTCTCGAAACATGTTTTCAAATTAAGGGCAAAATTGTTCTCGAAGAAGTGTGACCATCTAGTTGAATCTGATTACTCTCCCATGTGATTACCGAGGCAGAACCTACTTTCCACTTTGTTACTGTGGAGGAGGGCAGTAAGCATGTGAATGCAATCCCCCCAGCCCGTCCATCAGTCGATATGTGCGAGTTTCGCTCCTTATAACTATACACCGTCGCCGGCCAAAAAAATCATTGCATTGCACATATTCCCTTCCCTCCCCCACCCCCTCCCCCTCCCCACCTTCCCCTTATTTTTTTTTTTATATTATCATTGTACCATTTAAAAAGTTACATAAATAATTAGAGTGATTCCTCCTTCCCTTTTATTTTTTTTTTATTGTCATTGCACCATTTAAAAAATAAGACAAAAAATTATGGTGATTTATGACGCTTGGACTCTGTTTGGTAGAAACTGATGGAGTCTTGATGACAAAAGTGATCTGATTTGTCAACTATACTATCTCTCCCATATAAAACAGTGCCTTCCATCCGTATGTATCTGAGAAATCCATTCTGTTTTGATTGTGCCAATTCACTCCTCAAGGTTTCTAATTTCATTCACTTAGTAAAAAACGATGGTTCTGTAAACAACTTCAACCCTGTTTTCAACAAGATCAGAATCAAACTGAAAACTTTAGCGCAACCAAAATAATAAGGACTGGGGTGAGACACGAGACAAAACACATACTGCCCATCACTGTATTTTATCCTAAATTTGCTGAATACCATGTAACAGTCTTGTGAGTACAAGATTCATAACGTATGCATCTAGAAATTTCATTGAAGATTTTTTGTGCGATCTCATTGAAGAGATTTGAGCATTGCTTGATAACAGAAGGGCTCTAGTTACTCGTTTTTCACTGTGCATCCATGAAAAACAAGGCTTCTAATTGGGAGTCTTACTTAAGCCACCTCCAAGGGTTGCTGTCCAGCATTTAGCAATGAGTTTATAACGAACAATTACCTCCCAGCTACGCACCTCAAATGTTTGGCTATGCTATGGCTCCTGATGCTCTCAAACACGCAAGGTTCAACCATATAATGCACGCCATGGCTCCTCGTTGTTCCTTGTTGTCTTGGTCGGATTCCATGTAATACTCTCTCTGATAAAGCACAGGGATAAGGTGCTTGCCAAAAGCTCTCCTATCTCACAGATTACCTACATTAGAAACAAGATATAATCAGACAAAAAGTGATGATATGAAGTGACCAACATACAAAGAAAAGAAAAGGAAGATCCATGCAAACACTCCTGCACAAAGTAAAGTGAAATGTAGGAAGTATGCCTATGGGAATTAGGGCTTTCATTAAGGAAGCTGGAAACCAACTTGCTTATTGCACAAAAGTGGCCAAGTGTAGATGTTGACAAGGAAACCAAGTAAAGCCCCCAAAAATATTTAAGGTTAGAAGTTGATTGGTGTGCACTTGAGTAGGTGTTTCACATATGGGTGTGTGTATATGATTCAGATTTTAAGACCTTCAACACCACAGTATTTAGACACAATGGAGCTATCAAGTCATCACATATGATCATCTAATGAACATACAAGGTTTCTACTTAAAATGTCCATGTAGGACCTGCATATCATAGGAAAGAATCTATATCACTCCAAGCAATATGAAAGTGTTTCAACTTCCAGTTTTATTGGTCTATGTTCGATAACACCTGCTTCTAGGATGTGGGCCACATTTTGACTGCCCATGTAAAATAGCTTGTCATTTAACTAGAGAAGATGTACAGCACTATCAATCTTGCATGCTCAAACTCCAGCAGTCAAGAGCTAGTTTTGTGCCACTCAATTTCATGTGTGCAGCTGTTTAACTTGCTGACTGGCAATACTAGAGCCAACCAGCTCGGCCAGCTGCGATAATGTAACTTGTTAAAACAACTCAGATCAATCAATTTAGTTTTTTGGATGGACAATTCTTACTTTTCAAATAAGGGACTGTTAATCTAGTTTCAACTCTCAAGACAAACTTGAATTCTCAAAGCGATGATTAATCATTTATAAAAGATTTTGCACCTGTTCTTTTTAAGAAATGTAGAACCATCCCAACCACTCACCCTTTGGACTTGTGCCTAAAAACCAAACTTAATTACATACAATTCCCACAAACCATGCACATAGTAAACCAGGGCTCTCATTCAAGAGTCCAATTGAAGACCTTGAGGTAGCAATGCTGAAGTTTTTCCATCCGAGCTTTACCTTTACAGTCTATGTTTGCATGTTACACTAGGAACAGACAGGGGGGGACATGTCCTGGCCCAATAATTTAATAAAAAGAAATAACAATTCTTTTAAAAGCCAAGTGTAGACAGAGACTATTGTTCTCACTAACAAGAATACATAATCATCAACAGCAAACAGTCAACATAATCCTGACACATTGCAACTTCTAACTACACTTCTTCTACGACGGTGCAGCACTTCGTCCCCATAAATGATGCTTATTAAGATACAGTGATATAGCAACCCTCAACTATAACTATCAGAAACATGAGCAACATTTTGAAGGCATGGGACTTGGAAAGAATGAATCATGAATGATTGCACAACATAGATCAGCCGCAAAAGACAACAATGTTAGAAATATATTCACATACATAAAAACTTCATTTAGGGAGAGATTGAAAAACAGCAATGCGTGAACTAGAAAGCACTGAGTACCTTTTGTGGTCCTTTTCATATTGCAGGTTGATATACTGAAACACTATTAACCTTTACTTCCATATCTTTGATCGAAGTGTATCTATTTCCTGGCATTTATAATTAACTGATTGCAATAATTGAAGATAAAGTACCTCAACCTCTTCTCCTGAAGTTTTATGTGACAGGCGTTGCCCAGCTTGTCCAATGAGAAAGTAGGTTGGCATCTTCAAGGCACGGACCAACTGAAGAAAACAGGCCAATGGTTCATGATGAATCCGCAGTGATGATGGTGGTTTTTGAATCTTGGAGGAAATGGCCTGCATAATGTCTGTTTCTGGACCCACTTGTGTACCATATAGTGAAACTTGATTGTTGATTACTCGACTTCCATTTTCTAGCTTAAGCTTTGATGCTGTCACAATGAATGGGGAAACTATTGTGGGCATAGTTGACAAATTTTCTGCTGCTATTGATGCTAGAACTTCATTGATAGCACATGCCAATATTGGAGGGTCATAAATTTGCAAAAGCAACACAGACACCTGGAAAAGTATGAAAGACACTATAAAACCTTGCTAAATATAGCGATGACAATCACACTGAAACTTTGATACCAGTGACCCATGTGGTTGAGATAGACGTACTCTCAAGTACATCTGAAGTAGTGAGAAAAGAGGGGGTTGGGGGAAGAAGGCAAAAAGAACAAAAGTTGCTTCTAGTCCGTGTCAGTATCCTATATTCCAATAAGACTTCTAGTATATTAGTGAGAAAATTAAAGGAAACACAACACAAACATCGTCAGTCCTTATTTCCTTCCATCCCTCGAGCACTGTTAAAAATCCAACACCCATTTGCAGAGTATTCACTAGGTGAAATTACCAAACCCATCCCAAATAATGTGAGACTGCAAACTAATCTTTTAGTACTTGCCTGGAATTTGAGCCTAGGGCCTCTAGGTTAATTCTCGAGACTCAAGCTACTTAGCTTCACACATGCAGCATGTTTGTCCTATTTTACAAAAGCAATACCACACTATATGAGACAACGGCACATAAGAACCAAACCTAGAGTAAATCACACCCAGAGCCACCTCATGCACACAACACCACACAATTACTGCCACAAAGTTTTGAAGCCACCCATTCTATGAGAGCCATAAAATCTATTGTGCGTCTTTGACAACAATTGTTCAGCAAATGTCATATATTGGTTCAATTTAACAAATAAAAAGAAAAAGAGTCCCTTATACCATTCAACACTGATAAATGATCAAGGCCCGTCTCCAGTAGTAATTCTCGTCCAGTTTTGTAAAAAGCAATTACCAATCGTGAATTTAGGTGGAATAAGTGGTTCCCGTGAAAAATATACCTAAAAATTGCATTTGGGATCTTCAGAATCCCACACCAGGTCCCCATTTCTATGCTTCAAAATGTACAATCACGACAGTTAGAAAATGAAAAGAATCCAATCCCAACAAGACCATGCTCCTTAATCGAACCAGTATCTAATTTGCTTCCTAGCTCCGCAACCCTAAAAACTCCTCCAAGCTATTGTGACTTGAGCGTCCAGGTTCGAGTCACATAAACATCTTACCCTCCCAGGCCCCAAAGTGACAGAAGTCACGTGCATTCGACCGCCCTTTTATTCGTTTACTAGCCTAACTAACTCGATTTGCATCTCTGACGTCAATCTGTTCCAATCTCAATATATGAATGTCGATTCCTCGAGATTATGCCTCGTCAAGTCCTCCCCCACACACACAAAAAACCAAAGAAAACACAGATACACACACGCAATAAAATTCGACATATATGACAATTTTTAGCATCTTGATTTAGAGCTATTACCTGAAAAAGGCCATTATCATCGACAAAGTGGACGATATTTCCAGACGCTTTACGATCTTTGATACCGTAACACTCCAACGACAGCTCGAACGAGTCTTCCCTGCAAATGATCAACAGAATCGTTGAGTTTCATTACTGATCTTGTAAGATGTGCTGTGAACAATGAAAAATCTGAAACGTACAATCTTTTCAAGGTGGAATTAGGGTTTGGTTGTAGAGCGTCTGCGATTGCCGTGCCACAGCCGTCGGCGTCTTTGAATAGGAAAATTACATTCGGAGCTACCTTCATTTTCCGTTTTTCTTCGGTTCACCACTGTCCGGATTAGAGAGAGAAGAGAAGTAATTATATGCCCTAATGGGATGAAATTACAGTCACAGACGACCGCCTTTCTTGTTCGAAACCCGAAAGTATTAACGGAACTTTTGACCCATCCATGGACTTTTAAAAGAAAAGCCTCAAATAAATGTGATTTTGAAAGTAATTTTTAAATATAGGTACTTTTTAAAATCGTCAGTTCATTTAACGTTTTTTAGCCTAATACTGTAATTTAGCTCAATTCTGTAGTTTAGCCCACCAGCTTAAAAACGTCATTCAGTTTGACGTCTTTATAATAGACGTCAAACAGATTGACGTTTTTAAGCTTCAATCTGAATCCCTACTTTCCCTCTTCTTTCATTCTCTCCATCACTTTCTTTTCTCAAATTCTTTGCCCTAGCTTCAATTAGGCGACCCAGCAACCACCACCCCTGACATCCTTCAGGCGCACCTCCAGCGACCACCACCACCCACCATCGCAGCACACCCACCACCACCCTACACCACCGTTGCACCCCCACCATCGCAGCACCACCCAGCACAACACTACACTACTGCAGCACCACCCAGCACCACCCATCATCGAAGCCCCAAATCCAAGCACCACTAGACGACGTTCTTTAGTCCCGTGAGTAGAAAATGTGGTTTTTCCCCAAGCTGAGGTTCTAAGGAGGTTAAAGGGTATGTTTTGTTCTCCATTTTTTTCTGTTCTACTTGATTTCATATGTCATTGGACGTAGTTTGAGTTTTCTTGGTAATTTTGGTGAACAATCAGAGATGGGTATTAAGGGACTTTTTTTGGATTTGATTGATAATTCTGCTATAATTTGATGGCCTCATTTTTATTATGATTCTATGGTTTTATTTTAGAAGTATCTGTTATTGATTTAGTTTATTTGTTGTTTGGGTTCAAAGCTTTTTATGGATGATTTAATTTGGGTGAACTAAAATGGCTTATGAGCTGTAAAGTTCAATTGGGTTTGATTTGCTAGATCTTTGATTGGTTGAAGACAATGAAACTTTGATGTATACGAACACCCAACTGAAGCTACTGTCATTGTAATGTCATGCTCTTCAGTAGCACTGTATGGATCCAAATGCACTTTGTCCATAATATATTGGAGCTTTTGACCATAATATTATTTTTCTCTAGTTTAATCCCTATATTAAAAATCAATTGTCTCAAAGGCTTAAAGTGTTTCATTTTGATGGAGGAGGTGAATTCACAAGTTCTCAACTGGAATATTTTCTATCTATTCATGGAATTCATCATGCTAAGTCTTGCCTCAATACCCCTCGACAAAATGAAAATGTTGAGAGGAAACATAGGCACATTACAGAAACTGCTCTCAACATTCTAACTGGAGCATCTCCTCTTTATTCTTTATAGTTTCATGCATTTGCAGCTGCTACATATCTAATTAACAGACTACCTCCAAAAACCACAAATCACAAGTCCCTTTTTGAGCTTCTTTTTCATACTTCTCTAGATTATTCTTCCACAAAGGGTTTTTGTTGTGCATGTTATATCTTACTCATCCCATACTCCAAACACAACTATGAATAAACATAGAAACTTTGAAATTATTAATTGAATCTCAACGACTATCACCACTTGACATTTCTCTGTGTGATTCAGTTTAACTATGTCATAAATTGGTAATCATTAATGGAGGTGTTAGATATTAACAAACTCAGGTTTTAGATTTTTATTAAGAAATTATCCATCGATCTATCGGTTCATACCCTTTGTGGTGTTGGACAAATACGGGTCTATATCAACTTGTCTACTATTTCTCTTTTATTTGGTAATGGTTAGATCACTTGATCATCTGGTATTATTAACTCATATAGACCCGTATTGTATTGTCTATATAGCAACTCATATTATAACTCATAGAATCACAATAGCAACTCATATTATATCGTCTACACTCCTAACATAATTGAAGATCCAATCTAAGGCATGATTACTCTTTTCAAAAGGTTAATTGTGATTGGGCGTCAAGCATAAACATTATTAATTTTTAGAGAGAATTACACTCAAACATTAAATAGGTTCTCTATTCCATGTTTGTCTTTCTCAATCTTAATTGAAGTTTCGTATTTATTTCTCTTAGGCATCAAACACCACATTTACTTCAAAATAAGTATGTTGATTTTGAATCACTCAAAGTAACTCCAGTATTGTCATCCTTGAGTTGGATAGTCTTGATAATTTTGATAAAATTTTCAATGTTGTTCAATTACTACCTTGTTAGCCAAAAAATTTGCCTACATTGTTTGACTTCTTGATAACATGTTTCACTTCTGATTCAATACATGATAACATCTAAGGAGATACCCTCTTGTGGGGATTATTTATTCAAACTTCCATATAAAAGTTGTATCTTCATTTTTCTTAGTATCATACAAGTACATTTCATCGTTGTAGGTTTTCTAATTGATAATTTTTTCAAGTATTAATCGTTTCTATCTATTCCCAGGTTCTTCTGAATTCAAAACTTATTCTACAGCCGAAACTAATCAAAATGACGGGAAAACAAGTTACCATTTTGTTATATTGGGGTGGACAAATGAATTATGGCTCGGAGGGTTTATCATACAGTTGTCCTCCCAAAGGTGGTATTGTTATCAATAGTGGCACACAATTGCTGAAATTATTGAGTAAAATTTACACTGTAATGGGGTTGGACAGGGTGCATAACAAATTGAAGTTGACATGTAGATATCCTTTTATAGTTGGAACAAGACCAGGACAAAACATAAATACACATGTTGGTCTGGAAATTGTCAATGATGAACTAGTGACCTTAATGGTTAATGTGGTACTTGACAACCCCAGCATTGCTAGTGTTGCTTTGTACATGGAGACGAGGACATCAATGTTGGCATAGGCAGTAGTTAGACTGGAGGGTGCTTAACCACAACTGTCATGTCTTACACTGAGTTGCTTAGGCGAAAGATGGGTCCATTGTCATTTCTAACTTCTGGTGTGATGGGTGAATGCTCAACTCCCGTTGGGATGCAAGTAATGGATGAGTCTAGGCAGTACTTTTACACCCAACAAAGAACTGAATTCACGAAATACGGTGGGAACTCAGCCAACAATTCACTAAGTCAAAATTTTGAAATGGGTGAGGGGGAATTGAGTTGGGTGAATAAGATGATGTTTATCAACCAATAATGCAACAATGCCCAATTCGGGAATATGAAAAAATATGTGCTAATGATCGTACGATGAAGAAAAAGAGTTTGAGGAATTAATGATTGATGAGCCGAATGACGAATCTGATAATGGTGAAGCCTTTGAGACTGCTCAGGTGGTGGAGGTGCATAAGCCTTATTCTACCTCATTCACAATCACTGAATTTGGTCAGTATACTGAAACAGATAGCTTTGTACCGTCAGTTGAACAGAATTTATGGGATCCGGTGAAGATGGAGTTGGCGAAGGGCATGTTTTTGTAAGGATAAAGCTTTATTGATTAGAGCTGTTGAATGGTATTCAATCAAGCTGAATTAGGATTTTATCATCGTCGAGACGAACACAACTGTGTGCGCTGTATAGTGCATCATGTACATATAGCCTAACTGCACGTGGGTTTTAGGAAAAAATTGAAAATATTTCAGACCACGAAATTTGATGGACCACATACCTACTTCTACCCTAGGATGAGTCGTGACCATCGACAGTTAGACTCTGACTTCATTTGTAATAATATACTAGGAATCGCGGGAGATACACCACAATCCAAAATGTTGACAATTCAGAAGAATATAAATGAGAAGTTCAAGTTTGATATTTCCTATAAGAAAGTATGGATTGTGAGGAACAAAGCGATTGCTAAGATTTTCGGTGATTAGGACTCATCATATGACATGTGCCAAAATTTTTAAGTGTCATCAAGAAGTATAACCCTAGCTCAATTGTTAAGTGACGATACAACTCTAAAACTCCTGAATGTAATATTTTTTTACGAGTATTTTGGGCATTCAAGGCCAACATTCAAGGGTTTAAATATTGTCAATCTGTTGTCAATATTGATGGGACATTTTTGCATGAAAAGTACAAGAAAAAAACTGTTAGTGGCAACTACTTTTGATTCTAATAAGTAGTTGTTTCCCATTGCATTTGCTATTGTGGAAGAGGAGAATACGTCAAGTTGGGCTTTTTTCTTATATTACTTTCGACGGATTGTTCTTAGACATCGGGAAGGGATATGTTTAATTTCTGATAGGCACAAGGGGATCCTTGCGGCTGTGAACAAGGAAGATTCTGGGTGGCATCCACCTTATGGTTATCATCATTTTTGCCTTCGACATGTTCGTAGTAATTTTAATACAGAGTTTAAGGATGCACATTTGTACGATCTTATGTGGAGGGCTGGAAAGACAAGACAGGTTCTCAAGTTAGATGATTTAATGAGCAATGTCAAAGAAGCAACGTATAAATACTTGACTGATATACCATTGGAGAAGTGGACATTAGCACATGATGGTGGATGACAGTATGACATCATGACAACCAACATTTCAGAGGTTTTCAATAGTGTTCTTCAAGGTGCTAGGTATTTGCCCATAACTGCTTGTGTGCAGTCAATATTTTATTGAGTCACTAAGTATCATTTTGAACATCGAGACCAAGTGGCAAAATGGAAAGAAAATGGGATGGAGTTTCCTAAACGTGTTATGGAACGATTAAAACATGCACAACAAATGAGTTGTGTCTACGACGTGACGCCATTTCATAGGCAGCGTGATCTTGTTGAAGTGTCAATTGGCGGTGGTCATAAGCAAGTTGTGTGTCTTGAAGATCATTCGTGCACATGCAGAAAGTGGGCAATTTATAGAATTTCTTGCTCGCATGTGTTGGCTGTATGCTCTTATCTTCAGTTGCATTTTCAGCCCTACATAGATCTCATATACACTATTGACACTTTGGAAAAAATTTGGGTGCTTGAAATGTTTTCTCTAGAGGATGAGCATTATTGAGATGATCCCCTACGACCCAAATTAGTCCCT